TTGGTTTGTTTTACTTTCTTTCCTACTTGTCCTAGATTCCAGTAGAATTCAGTCATCTTCAGGAACGGCATCTTCCATCGGGGCCCTAAACATGAAATTGTAAATTGCAACTGTCATCATGTCTGTTGTTCCTTTTTAATCTCTGGGACTTTTTATTAAGTTCAATTAAAGTGATCAAATACTGATTGAATCACTTATAATGGACACTGCTTCCTGATGTTTCAAGGTTTTAGCTTCCTGTAGATTTCGCTGGTCTCCTGAGCACTGGCCCGGATATCCTGTTTTAGAGAGGCTCCTTTCCCTTGCAGGGTCCTAAGGAGCCACCCTTGTGAGTATATGTAAATGAAAGGACAATTAGCTCTGTGAGGCATGACCACACTATTTTAACAGCTTTATAGAGAAGATTCCCTTTATTAAATAAAATAAAGGGCATTTGTTCTCAAGTTAGTTACTAAAATTACACCAGGAAATACATGCAAGCAGCAAGACGTCCTTGCTTACATCTTTGAATGGCTTCCAGAATGCATTAATCGTGTGAATACCATATCCCCTTCTCCTTCACCTCCACAGTGTGTCAAACAGATGTTTTCAACCAGGGTTTCTCCAGAGTTTGCTAGGGGTTCCTGAGAAGCAAGTGGCATGTTAATGGTCTGCCAATAGTGGGTACCAATGGAAGGGGTCACTTCAACACTGGCCAACAATGTAAGGGGGTCCCTTCTACACTGGCCAACAATGTAAGGGGGTCCCTTCTACACTGACCTCCAATGTAAGGGGGTCCCTTCTACACTGACCTGACCACCAATGTAAAGGGGGTCCCTTCTGCACTGACCTGACCACCAATGTAAAGGGGGTCCCTTCTACACTGACCTGACCACCAATGTAAGGGGGGTCACTTCTACACTGGCCTCCAATGTAAGGGGGTCCCTTCTACACTGGCCTCCAATGTAAGGTGGTCACTTCTACACTGACCACTAGAGTAAGGGGTCAGTGCAATTTTTGCCCGTTTCTTTTCTGTCCATTATTTCATGAATTACTGGTGAAGATCATTTTGACATCTAGAGAGGGAATGTTAAGCACACACCATTCTTTTCTATGAAACTCTTTACCTTACCAGCCTTCTGATCATGCATCATAAGGTGTAGATATATGTGGGGGTTCCCTGAGACCTGAAAACTATTACAAGGGTAAAAGGGGTTGAGATAGTCTAAGTCTAACACCTTGCTGTTGGTCTATCGCTATGGTGAGTATCCTCACTGCCTTAATAGTAAGCCTCAAGATCTTTCTCATTGGCATTTACATGGCACAACTGTCCCTGGTGCTCTCTGTGTGCTTTGGATGCCTTGCAAGGGATGTGCAGGAACTCTGTCCCCATAGTTTATTTGCTATAATTTATATACAGGTTCCCTTTAATCCCACTAACTCTTGCATAGTTCCATCTTGCCCTCGGGACCAGCATGGTAAATCATGGCTTTGAAGTTTTCTAACCGCTATAGTAAGGCAGGTTGTCAAGATGATTATGTAAATGTGCTGACCAGAGCTGTCACTCAGAATCAAGACATTTCACAGGTTATGGCATGAGAGGGATAATGTGATTTGCTTTCCGTGATCTTTTTTAGGCACCTTTTTTCAACAGGGTCAGTAATATTTAATGTCCTGTCGTGTTTGTCTGTTGAATGTGCTACATCAGAATTGCTGTCTGCATCCCATCAATACGATTTTAATTTGCGGCTTTAGGAAATCAAGTGTCAGCATTTTATCCGTGTAACTTTTCACATTAAGTGCAGGGATACTGTACTGTAAAGTGTTTCTGCTCCTTTATTCTGACCTCAAGTGCTGATACTGGACGTGTAATAAAAAAACCGACAACCCCATCAGTGTGCTAAATGATTTCATATTTTTAGGTGCACTCGCAAGCCTTAGGCCCTTTTCACACGCGCTGATCAGGAGGGGACCCTGCAGTATGGAGCTGATGTCCCAGCGGTGTCCAGTCTTCATCTTGCGTACTGAAATTACCGGACCCCTTGTCGGTCTATGGGGAATCATTACATCAGATCACCCCGATCCAGCATGATCAGGCCTGGGGACACGGACCTCTGATACATTTATTTTCCCATACCTGTTCGGCCTTGGGGAATGTCCATCCCTTTACACACGGCTGCCCATAGACTAGCATTGGGCATCCGATCGGGTCCCCCTGAAAAATTGACAGGGGCCTTAAAGTGTAACTGAAGCTGTAACTTATTTTTTTTTTTTAGTTTTGGATGGAGGGATTAGAAGACCTGTCTGTGTCCCTGTTAGGGAGATTCACCCTCTGTTTCTCCTGGTGATCGTTATCACAAAAAGTGAAAGAAAATCTCAGATTTTGGGTTGTCATCAGAACAGGAATAGATGGGAAATCTTCCACTGGGGACAATAGGTCCAACAGGGATTTCCCTCACTTGGGAGGCATTTCCACTCATTTCCTGTTGTGGCTATCGAGCAGGAAGTGAAGGCAAGCAAGATATACACTTATACTTTAATGTCTTCTTATAGATGGGAATGTGACATCATAATGACATCAGTGGGGGTGGAGCTGTATTCACTGATTGGTGTTTGGGTTTCTCACTGATGTACAGTATATGTTCACTGAGTTTATTGCACTTGTTGTCACATTGTTTTGCTTGATGAAGGAACCGCATGCGTTTCCGAAAGGTTGCAATTTCTTGTCATATCATGTTCATCTAACGTCAATAAAGGACGGATCGATAATGGTGACCTCATTGCTACTGTTGTCTATGCTGTGTCATCCGCTGCCTATTTCAGCACCCACTGAAGTTGCAGCTTTAAACCCCGTTCACACCAGGCCATTTCATCCTGCATTTTTTTTCTGCGCTGAAACTCATGCAAATTAAAATCCCATGTATTCCTATGGAATGGCTAAATTGCGTGTGAATATGCACCTGTTTGAAATATCCCATGAGCTTCTTTTGTGCCACTTAACAGTCGTTTTGCTCCATAGACTTCAATGGAAATGCGCTGATCGGCTGTAGATTCTCAAATCATCTCTGAATTGGAGCTGACACTGTCCTTCCTTCTGGAGGGGGGCTACTTTGGTTCCCCATGGTTCCTGTGTGTGTTGTAAAGTAGCCACCACTGCAAGCTCACTCCTGTGATGGACTACAATCTCATGTTTAGTTTACTACAAAAGGGAATGTAGTGGTTTTGTAAATCCTAAACGTAGTTGCATTCTTAATTTAAACTAGCAGGTGGAGCTTTGGTTTTTTTCATTATTTTCAATGCTCCATTTGATATAATTAATAACTCAAGCTGAAATGTACACGCACAAGTGAATCATTTATCACAGTGACACCTGCTGTATTAGATGTTTCAATCTGATGTTTCAATCAGGCAAAAGGAGCCGCAAGGCAGTATCTGTTGTGCTGCTTCCTTAGCTAACCTATGGTGCTCTGAGTATCCTTTGCAATATATTACATGTTTATTTATAAAACAAAGATGTTACCTAAACAAAAACTATTTCCTTTTTAACCTGCACAGACTATTTTAATTTAATTACAAAAGGTTCGTTGTTCAGTATCCTGGGATTCAAGTTAACAAACACAACAAAACAGGCATATAGACTGATGGGGCTTTTAAGGTATGCAAACAAGGCCTTCAGTTAAAATAAAATAAAGTTTTTACTGATTTATAATTAAAACATGGCAGCTAAAAACATTACAAAATGAACCATGAAGTGCATATGGCATATACAAGCTTTATTTTTGAGAACTGATTCCGCAATGACTTAAATGCATTTTAAGTCCCACAATATCGTGATAGCACGGAAGTGGTAGTTGGCACATTGATGTTTCCTCAAAGCGTGCACGTCCGTGCTTCCGCTGTTACGTTGCATGGGGGTTGCCCCTCCTGCGGCTCCCTTGGGGGAGCCCATGTCCGGACGTGCCTCCATAGCTCAAGTCTATGTCCTTGTTTCTACTGGTCCACACTTGTGGTTACATGCTCCTGAAGAAGCCGTTTATGGCAAAACGTGTTGAGGAAACATCAATGTGCCAACTACCACTTCGGTGCTTTCTCATCCCAACATTGTGGGATTCCAACTGCATTTTAAGTCATTGTGGAATCGGAACACACATTTTGCAGCTTATATATGCCATATGCACTTCATGGGTGATTTTGTGATGGTTTTTAGCTACCATATTTTAATTGTTATTAATAAAGTTTATTTAGTTTTAATTGAAGGCCTTGTTTGCATATCTTAAGAGCCCCCACCAGGCTATATGCCTGTTTTGTCGTGTTTGTACTTTATAGCGGTGGGGTGTGGTATAATGGCCTTCCTCTGCTGGACATTACCTGATTACATTAAAGTTAACAAAACTAGGCAGTCAGAAAAATAATGAATAGATTGCAAAGAATTATCTTTGCTGAGAATCACTTCGATCAGAAGGATAGAAATACAGGCAGCTGACGTTATTAAAACATTTCCTGTAAAGATTGAGCTTGGTTGGCTCCTCCCTTACCTCCCTATTAGTCTTTTAATGCATCACCCATCCGGGGGGACCAATAGGGAGACACGAGGAGAAAGCTTAGGGTCAAAGATTTGCTTGTAACTTCAGCAGCCTATATGAGTATGTGCTGATTTTATTGAACCTCTAATTATTCATTTGTTGTTCATATGCTCAGTGTGAATTGGGCAAGTTTGTGACCTGTCAAAAAAACCTTTTTAATAGTCTATAGTTTGCTTTGATAAAGAAGCCGGTGGCACAGCACCATGAATGTCTTTAGTCTCTGCACAGTATAGTGCTTAGTGCTTACAGAGTGATTTGCGTGTTATTACCCTGCGAGGAGCATCGGGACCTCTACCCATGGGCCATGTCTACACACTGGCAGACAGCCTTATAATTAATGTGCCAGCTCCTGCCAGCACACCACTGTTTATTGCAGCATGTTTCATTATGTATTCTGCCTTCATTGTAAATCATATCTTGTTCTGTTTTCTTTTGCAGAACAGCTAGAAGCTGAGCCACCATCCTCCACGCAGATGAAGCACGGTAAGGCTGGGAAACATTGTTGAATTGATATCTACTGATTAAAGGAATCATTACCTGAACATAATGATAAACCGATTCCTCAGCCAGATATTCATCAAATTGGAATCTGTAATCCATTTTGTGAATCTGCCATTAAAGTGACTTTGATATGTAAAAATTAGGGGAACCCAAGGTAGAAGTTGGATGGATCAACAAAACATGTCAAAATATAAACTAAATTATACAATGGTAAACACTTCCTGGCTTGTCAGCTGTTATCTGTGTTCTAAACAAATATGGAAGAAACAACAGGTTCCCACTTGACTACACATCAGAGATCAGCTTAGAAACCATATGATCACATACATGTTCTTCACACAAAACTGGCATAAAGTATAATCAATTTATTTCAAGAAAATTTATAACCATAATTTACCTAATGTGCACACATGAGTGACTGATACTTCTTGAAAATAAGATGACTGACATGTCGTAGTGCAGGAACCCCGAGATGCCTACACATTCCATATTTTCTGGAGCACCTTAGCACCCCCAACACGCATAAAGCTCTAAAATGCAAATAAAGGGTCCCATCTAAGAAGCTGGCTTTTGCTCCTGCACCCTCCTACCTCTTGTGTTTTATGGTTGGTCCTTGAGGCTACACATCCTATTGATGAGACGATCACAAGGAATGGGAGATTGGCCAACCCTATTTTGAACTTTTTTTTACTGGTACAGGATGCAAGGTATAACACCCTTCCAAAATGCAGTATATCTTTATTACTGAAACCCTGCGTTCCTGCCTTTGCCCTGCGTTCCTGCCTTTGCCCTGCGTTCCTTCCTTTGCCCTGCGTGATGAAATATGTATAATCCGCGCTTAATAGATCGATGTGGATACCTTTAATTAAATAAATAAATATATGAATAAATGAATCCCTCTATCTTAGAGCTGCTGTACTAGGGACACTAGGGTCAGATAGTATGTAACTGGATGTGCAGCGCTCAGGATCACCAGTGAGTGAATAAAATCAGTGTTGGTATATTAGGCTTAATAAGTATTAATAATCAATAATAACCAGTGAATAAAAAGTTTCAAATTGTGCACGAATACATGAAATAAATAAAATATACAATTTCAGATATAAATACCAATAATACAAAAATGTATATAAATCTCAAACTTATCAAAGTGATATGTAGCAAAGTGAATGCAAATAATCGTTAATAAGATGTGAGTCCAAAAATAGATGATTTGTGAATCCAAAAACTATAGAAATATATAAATAAATAATTCGTTCAATCAATATTTAGTCACAAAAATATAAAAGGGACAAGAACTCCTCATGGTGTAGTCGATAGCATGCTTTATTAAACACAACACAACAACATTTAAATGTAAGTGGCTACTTGTTGTGTTTAATAAAGCATGCTATCGACTACACCATGAGGAGTTCTTGTCCCTTTTATATTTTTGTGACTAAATATTGATGCATATGGTGAGGACGAGACGTTTGGAGGATCACGAACTACCATCTTCTTTTGCCTGTGAATATACTGGTCTGGTGAGTGCGCACCCCAGAGGGGATTTAGACGTGGACACTGCGGTGTGGGACTTCTATTATTATTATTATTATTACTAATACGTTGCGGACACTGAAAGTTTAAAGTATTTTGGATTCACAAATCATCTATTTTTGACTCACTTTCAATCAACTATTTATTTATATATTTCTATAGTTTTTGGATTCACAAATCATCTATTTTTGGACTCACATAACGATTATTTGCATATCACTTTGATAAGTTTGAGATTTATATACATTTTTGTATTATTGGTATTTATATCTAAAATTGTATATTTTATTTATTTCATGTATTCGTGCACAATTTGAAACTTTTTATTCACTTGTTATTATTGATTATTAATACTTATTAAGCCTAATATACCAACACTGCTTTCCATCGGTGATGCCTTTCCCCTGCGTTCCTGCCTTTCCATCGGTGATGCCTTTCCCCTGCGTTCCTGCCTCCCTTCTGTTTGTCCTACTCCTTCCCTCTCTACTTACCTTCCTGCTCATACACGACAGGTGCACATTAAATTGAACTAGTAAATTGTGAATAAGTTCCTCTGTAAAATGTGTCTCGGAAAAATTAATTGAAAGCAAATAATGTCAGAAGAGCAATCTCCCAGCACAACACAAAATATGTCCTCTGCGTAAATCTGCGATATTGAAGACCGGGCTTGTCCGTTAAAGGTCACCTCATTGAAAATGTCATGATATTTAGATTCCTGTTCCCATTCATTTTCATTTAGTTTCCTGTGTGTAAAATTAAGGTGAAGGATTCGTTTTCTGGTTTTGAAGGAGTTCATCGACCTTCTCAATTACACACTGGTGATCGTACTCATAATGGTGGCCCACAGGTATCACACATTTCTAAAATGGAATTGCCCAGCAGAGTCACATGGTGACTTCCACTATCTTTGGGAAAGGAGAAGGAACATTCAGTTGCTGAGCACAACATAAATTCTCCTGTCGGGGTTGATGCCAGTGTCAAGTTGGGATTGGACGGGCTGTATGAACTGAAAAGCTCTGGGACTTTAGCATGGTGATTATCTTTTTCAAGAGATTAGCGCTGGCTGAACGTGCAGCATCGAACTGTGATCTGATTAAACCCGACAGATTACCCTTTATCCTATAGAGCTCCTGCTATTTGCTGAACAGGAAAACATCATTTACTTGCTAAAATGCTTTTCTTTTTCCATAACAAGTCGCTAATGTTTGTATGTCAGATCTGTTAAAGCTGAACTCCAGGCAAGTGCTAAATGCTCAGATGAAATGCATGTAAGGGAGCCGTTTTACCTGCCAAAGGATTTGTATTTTTATCGATCCAGTCCTGAGGTTTATACAGCCCTACCACACAGCACAGCCATAGTGGAGACCTGACTTACTCCACTGCAGTGAACTAATAGAACGAGGTCTTGTCCCTGTCCCCAACCTGTGATTGGATAGTAAAGGAAAAGCAGCAGCCTGATGAGCTCATTGCTCTCCTCTCTCCTCCCGGCAGCATGTGCCTGAGCACTGTAATGCAACCGATTAGCTAATAGTGCAGCCTTTCCAATTTCTGGCAGTGTGCCACGGCTGCAGCTCTTTCACGCCGGTACACTTGCACAAATTGCTTCATTTTGGCAACCTTTTATAGTGGTTCAGTTGATCAATTCTTATTGAGCAGCAGGCTAAAAAACTATCTTAACAGTGGCATCACAAGGGGGGTGCGGCCTGCACCCGGGTGACACCATTGGGCTGACAGTCATTTTGGTGTCCCCCCCTCTGAAAAGTCCAGCACTCGGTCATGGTCCGGGAGCCTGACAGTTGCACGAGAGAGGAGGGGACCCGGCGGCATACCTTATCCCGCTGGGTGAATGTCCCCTCCTCTCTGCCGGCATCCATCACCAACATGGCCACCAGCAGGTAACCATCACGCGTCTGTGCGATGACGTCACGTGTATGCGCAATGGCGCAGCGCTCTCTAGCCTCTCTTCTCCTACACTGCGGCAATGTTATGTCCTTTGGCCTCCTCACATCCTGTACACTGTATTGAACGTGATGACTCGTGGGACGTTAGACTGCTGCAGCGGAGGGGAAGAGAGGCTCCAGGGACCGGTCTAAGAACAACCCGACTGAGAGGAACGAGTTTAACTTTATTTTTCTCCCTAGACCAAAACGGCTAATAATTATTTTTCCCGGAGTTCTTCTTATAAGTATTATCAAATTTACTGAGCCCCGAGGAAGAGGGAGTGTGTTTGGCCCGCAAAACGCATTGGATGTTTTATATGATCATTTTATTAGTGATTTTGGACTCTTTACATTTGGTTTGGTGCTGGTGGTGTATATGTACCGTATATGCTTTGAGTCACATGCTGGGAATCCACTGAAGGGGAGCCTTGTTTTCTGGTAACCAGCCTTCTTAGAGCAAGCCAGCTTATCCAAAAATTATGGTCTCCCCATTTTGAAGTCCCAGCACCTGTACAGTAAACGCCCCATTATCCAGCATCCACGGGGATTGGTAGATTCCGGATAAATGTAGTTTCTGGTTGCTTAAGAGTTACTATTAAAAATAGGTCTTACTAATGCCATACCCTATACCAGTGTTTTTCAACCTTTTTTGTGCAAAGGCACACTTTTTTCATGAAAAAAATCACGAGGCACACCACCATTAGAAAATGTTAAAATTTTTTACCTCTGTGCCTATATTGACTATATATAAAGTAATTCTCTTGAATAGGAATCAAATAAACACAAAGAAATTATTTTATAATTACTTTATTATGAAATAATAAAGTATTTTATAATTGTTCATATTTCTGTTCAATCCATGACTTAACTTCACACTTCACACAAATACGTTTTAAATTCAAACTGTTGCACTGACGTAGCCCTGGTTAAAGTAGGGTTCAGTGGGGTCTCACTAGTCTTGGTTAAACCCCACAGAGCCCTGGTGAGACCCTACCAAGCCCTGCTTTAACCAGGGCTCTGTAGGGTCTCACCAGAGCTATGTGGGGGTCTCACCAGCCTGGTTAGACCCCTCAGAGCCCTGGTGAGATCCCACACTGCCCTGGTTAAACCCGGACTCTGTAGGGTCTCACCAGC